GAAATCTGTACTTCACATTACCCCTTTTAAAAAGGGCATATTAAGCATATTCACCCTGCACCTTTTCTTTAGCCTATTAAGTCAAAAATTAGAAAAAACCCCAGCTTATTATATTCTTTGTCATATTATTCTAAAGTTAATCAAGTATGGCTGTGCATCTGCTACTGAGAATAATAAAAAAAAAAAAATTTAAAAAATTCTTATCTTGATATTCAGCTACTATTACTATGCCAGGTAAGAAGTTCTGTGCAAGTTGGTTTTGTAACCCAAAACCCTGGCTGTGAGATGCCAGGCACAAAAACTCTGCTAGGCCTTTCAGAGCCCAGTCAACATACACATTTTGTTGCTACAATCACCAGGTAGCAACAGATTTACCTAGTATATGGGAGATATTAATGTAATCATACATGAAAGTCAGTTTATGAGCCCTGTTTGTGCTACTCATGCACAAAGACACAACAAAATAAGACAGAAAGAACACCACACTTCTACAACAAGGACTTCAGGATGAACAGTACAGCAACAACAAGGTCAGCCAGCAAACAACTTATTACTTTATATCAAAAGCTAAGAGCTTGCAAGTACATCAGGATTCTGTGGAACATTAATTACAATAGGCATGAGAAGATACTTAGAACATACTTGTGAACTCCTCTGAGTTTGCAGTAACACAGTCTGAGTAGTGACCATTTTCAGGGCATATACTATGTTACATTTACAAGTTTATGCCAAAAGATGATATAAAATCCAGTCTTTATGGTTTCAGTAAAACTCTGTCAAATATTTAATAATACCATACACACCTCTCATTCTCACAATTTCTGTTGTTTATACTGTTGTCTGGTTTGTCATTCACTGCTCTAGGGTATGTGACAAAAGGCAAAGAAGGTTATTCAAAAATTTTGGTCTGTAGATGCCTTGGAATTAGTTCTTAAAGCAGAGTCCTATGCAAGTAAAAAAGTTAAAAATATGCACTGCCCAAAGCCAAAAAGTTTGAGATACAGGTTTCCAACAATAGCAATATATTTACAATACCTTGTGTAAGCTGGAACAGTTTTTAAATATTTGCATAATCTAAAAATTTGAACCAAACCACCTTACTTAAAGCCTGAGAGACATTTTCTTTTTGCCTTGTAGCTCTTTACTGTGCAGTGTCAGAATAGCCATGTTAGTTCTACCCCTATTTACTAATTAGGGCTGGGAACCTCCTCAAATATTGACACATCCTGTCCACCAAGATCCACAGGATTTTAAGCAAGTACACCAGTGGCTCAAGAAGAATCTCTCCCACTCCAAGGAGCATTCATCAAGGCAGATTCTAGACCAGTATCATTAGATAAATTTGGATTATTCCCCTCCCCTATGCAAGGCACCATAAAGGATAACACATAAATAAACAGCATTCAAGTCTTGTAACAAATTGGAACTACTGAGGCTGTGAACCAACCCCAGAATACAGCAGCTGCTTTACTGTCAACTCCAGGGTATTCTTCTCAACCCCAGTGAGCCAACCAGCCATGAAACAGTCATATTAATTACAGCATTCTAGTCAATCACAGAATACTTAACTTGATTTATCTCAGCACAGTTACATCACCCTTTTATTTCCTACTTCTTCTTTTTCATCTCCTGGGAACAGTTCATCTTTACATTAAGTCAAAAATCAGTAACTGAATTTAGTTGAAAGGAATAATGTCACCTCTTGAAGTTCTGGGGATTATGACAGATTTTGAATTAAATCCCATGTTACAAAGAAGCTGTTATTCTCACAGACTAGTTTTAAATTCAAGCATTAAATTCACTTCATTCCAGGTCTCAGGCAACAAGAAATTAATTAAATCATAGTATGTTTTAAAAAAGCAGAGATTCTAAGAACCAAAAAGGCACTCATGTATTAGTTGATAGGGACGTTTAAAAAAATATATTAAAAAAAACCCAAACCAAACCAAACCCAACCCCACCTTCAATCTGCATCTACTCTTCTCCTGGCTTAATGTATGAGAATATAAAGTTTTTCAAACAGCTACGACGCTAAGAAAACCAGGTATCAACTCAGAAACAGAAAGCTACTAAGTATTACAACACAGATTTGTACAAGCACAGGCAACTTTTGACTGGTAGCACAGCTAAGAATTTCATACAATTTCTGCAACAAGCACGAAATTTTCTAGGCCTGCATTTATAGCCTACCCATTCAACCCACAGTCACCTTCAGGCTCATTTTAACCACAATCAGGGAAGCACAGAATTGACATATGGACATCTTTAAGCACATAGCTCACTTAGCTCTAGAGCAGGAAAAGGTGCCCATATGCTCCACAGATAGACCAGGAGAACAAAACTTCTCATTCCTGATGCTAATTCATCCAAACATGTCACCTGGTAAAAGTAACAGGTTCAGTGATTTCAGACCAACATTCAAGTGGCTTGTCACAAGAAAAGAAAACAGACATCTACCCACTAGAAAGATATATCCTCTAGGTATTTTCTGAAGGCACTGTTTAAAAACATTCATACACCATAATGATCTAGACCACAGTCAAAATGCCATTTTATTATAACGGCATTTCAAAGGCATAAAAAAAATTTTTTTTTTTTTTTAATCCAGATTTGTAAACTACTCCCCAAGGGTGTTTGGAACACTTGAGCACAGAACAGTCACATCAAGGTGGCACCTGCACACCTCTCCTGCTTGCCACACTGATGCTGTGGTGTAGAGAGATCAGAGATCTCTAAAATGATGCTGCACTCTGCTCAACAGACATGCTCCTTATGCTAATACATGCTCCTATTTAAGCTGATTCAGTTATAATAGGGAGAATATTACTACTATCTTAGAAGGCAAATTGCAAGTTTGACAAAATATAATTTCAGGCAGGTACAGGTATAAAACAACCAGCACATGAGCGCTTGGTGTTAATAATCTTAATAGTAAAGAATGTAATTAACAAGTTTTGACCATCTGAAACACAGCTGGCAAACTCTTTTAGTTACGGCTCACCTTTAAGCAGAAATAAAAGTCATAATGTCATGTGTGACCACCCTACCCAAGAAAGCAACGAAGTGCTGCTTTTCCAGTGGTCTCATCACAGACATATGAGAATGATCCTTATGTTGCACTAAATCCAGAATGAAAACTCAGCTGCTTACATAATGCAGCTTTCACTATGGCTCTTGTAATAATCCACTACTAGTCATTTAACTTTTAAAAGCAGGGGAAAGATTTTTGGCTTTAAAGAAGAGCTGAAAAGATGCTGGCATTAAATCCAAATTAGTAAAAGGGAATCCTCACCCACTCCCCAATAGCAAGAGAGAAGTCTCGTGGCAGCCTTTTAAGCAGGAGGTAATGGAGCACAAGAGCAACAAAAGTGCCTAGCACACCCACGGCTCATTTTTTTCCCCCAGTCTGTGTGAAATGATCAAACTTACACAAACATGTACAGGAAACTTGAGCAGTGGTGTACTGGTTTTAAATTATCCTACCTAATTTACGATTTTAATCAAGTAATCCAAGCGTTTAAAACCACAAGACTGCATTTAGTTTTCAAACTGTTCAGTTTACAAAGCACAGCATATGGCACTTGAGTCCTTCTGGCTTCCTTTAGTGCTCAGGCAAAAGGATGACGCCTCAGAAGACTGAATCTATCAGCTTGAGTCACTCCAAGCAGAGAGAGCTGAGAAAGACAGATATAGCCAGCCAAGCAGACACTACACATCCTGTTCTGTAACCAGGTAGCCTCAGTGCACATAAAGAGATGTCTGTCTCTCACACAGGCATTTTGGGCTGGCACATGAGTAGATTCTTTCCACGGGCCAAAAAAGGGAAAGTCAAGATAGAAGGAGGCAAGGGCAAGACCAAGAACCTTGACTGAGCTGGGTCATTACCAGTACTCAGGAGGCCCTGAGCTGTTTAAAACTTTCACTCTTCCCCGTAGAAACACCTCCTCCCACCAAATCAGCATCGTTACCTGCCATCATCCGAGGCGCCGGGATTTCACAGCCGGGAGGGAAAACCCAGCTGCTGAAGTTTAGGACTCCATCCTCGCTTTCTTTTCCTCCCCAAACCAAAGTCGCCGCCACCACCGAGTGGTGACCGAGTGGGTCACTAAACTTCCCCGAGCAGGGAGCTCTCCCCTTCTAGAGGAACCGAGCCAGTGTCGTCATCCCTCGCAAGCCCCAGCCCTGCCCTTCCCCGCCTGGCGCCGTGCAAGGAGAGCTTCACCTTCCCCGCGCCCGCCGCAGCGGCAGCCCCGGAGCAGC